TGTTAAAAGAGGAACCTGAAGGAAATGATCAGACTTTGTACATAGTTTCAGACCGGATACAACCAGCTTTAACTATTTGGCTACCAACAAGAAATAAAGATGACCTACAAATACAGAATGAAAATCTAGTAGCCTGTCAATCACGGAAAGGAAATCCTGAGCACAGTTTAAAAAAAGCAGAGAGGAAAAAATATGCAGGTCATGTAAAAGCATAATAAAATGAAAAATACAGAAGCAGCAGTATTGGAATAGTCAAGCAGACACCCTTGCCAAGTTTGTGGTGGTCCCAATAGACTTAACACTTGAAGAAACATCCATTTTGAAAACAAAGCAAACAAAATCATACCAAGCAAGGTATCAAAGACCTAGCCACTTTACAACATGGAAAAGAGGAAATTGAGGGGCAATTACTATAGAAGCTAGCAGGCAGGTGAAGCAGCGAGCGGAATGTGGCCAGATAATAAACACTTGTAGATGGAGAGCACTATATACCCTTCAGGTAGATTTATTTCAATAGGTGCATGAACAAGATCATGTAAGGGTTGCTTGAAAGCAAAAGGGAGTGTTAGAAGACACCTAGTTGGCCGAATGTAAAGATGAATGGGTACATAATTGCTTAACTTATGTTATGGTGAATACCCTCACTAAGAGAAAAATAATGTTAAAACACTAGAGAATTCTTGAATCACAGGTTAGGATACAGACTACAGTAGACCACATGAGGTCCCACCATAATCCCACCTACCATGCAAAGTTAGATTAAGTATTGTTTGCTAATACTAGATCCACTGACAAAATGGGTTGAGGCAGTTCCAGTAAAGAAAGTTATAGACAAGTCTACTACTGGGCAGGCAGGCATTTAACGTGGTATTTTCCAGATGGGATTTAAACCAATAAACTGATTTGGAGCATGGAACATATTTTCCAGGGCAAATCATCAAGGAATTATGTGGAGGCCTGGGAAGAAAATAAAGGCTCCACATTGCAGGGAACTCCCAGTTCAAGGTAAATTGAATGACCCAATGGGACTATAGAGATAGCCCTAGCCAACATGGTGAAAAATTTCAGAAAATTTTGGATATCACATCATCTTGCCATTTTAATGACCTATGAGCCACAACAGCTTCTCACAGGTTCACGTGACTTAGAGCTATGCCTGTGAGGAAAAAGACTGCCTAATGTTTTAACTGAAGAATGAATACAGACCCTATATAAACACTGGAAAGAGATTAATGTTGTTATAGCAACTCAATTGGGAAGGAATGCTCAATGCATGGATAAACAAACAAGAACAAAACCACTCCTTTCCAGAATGGCAAAGAGGATGGAAAGTAATGTTCCATATTTTCCACGAAAGCATTAAAAGAAGCAGCATAAATTAATTGTTAGGCTTTGTCTAAATGAAGTTCACATTTTTTTAAATTTTCTTAACAATTGTGTATTAATAATCATGTTAGGTTCAAAACTGTTAATATTTGTTTGTGTTACAAGGTAGCAAGCTCCTTGCTTTTTGTTGATAATAAAGCGCTTTTGTACCAAAGATCAAAAAAAACATTGGCTATACGTATCCACTGCTTTAAAATTACGGGAGACAAGTGTGAAGGCTAAACAATAGCATCTATGTTCCATGATGCCAGAAATAATCTTATGATTTTAACACTTGCCTCTCATTTTAAGGGAATGTATAACAGGGGCTTAAAGCAGCATACAAATTTAACTTGGATATTTTATATTTCTACTTGCTTGGATAGAAACCAAAATAGCCTACAACAATTGTGATGGAACCTGAACAACCACACCAACTGAAACAGGAGCGGAAAACACCAGAGACAGCTAAACCAAGTAAAAGCCAGAAGCAAAACAGAAACTGAAACAAACAAAAAAAGGTCAAACATGTTTAGTTCACAGAGGTTTTTGTTGCTGTTGTTTAACTTTCTAAACCAAAGATTCCAGTTGAGAAACAATTCACATCTTGGGAATACAAGGTACTGCTCAGTAGCAGCAAATCAATAGAGTGCATATTACTCTGAACAAAGCATTCACTTCCACTTTTCTTTCCAAGGCAGAACAGATATACTCCTTTTATTAGAGACATTTGTAGCATTGACCAGAAATGGATTCCATATGATTGAGTACAACATACCAAGAGGGTTTAGGGATACCATTTTAGACTAAGCGGAAGTCGCAACTGGAATTTTGGACATCTTGGTGTAGAAACTTTGACTAGTAACTTACCAAAACTGAGGCATATTATATGCAACATTCAAAACCCAGGAAGTAAATATATATAAATATGCCTTTGAATGTTATTTACCTACGATTTAGCAATGTCATACGGGAATCAAAATGTGAATAGAAGTAGCAAAAATATTAGTTTTATAGAAAGAAAAGTACTGGAACTGAAAAGTGGCATTAACATTGTTGAACTACTAATAGCATAGTCCATTCTATGAGCAAGAATCACCAACACACAAGTTATGGGAGTGTCAGTGTGTGAGATGGCCTAAGTTGCAACCACTGAAATGGGATAGAACTGTAATTTTTGGAGAAATGAAGGTCAAGATACAATACAGGAGGTATAGAGATGATTGCAAAACAGCACATGCACAACCTGCATTGCTATTGCCTGAAGAAATCTGTCAGTCACGGCACAGAAGCTAAGTAGCATCACTGACGGTGCATTGACAGATTTGGAAAGGCACTGTAAGAAATGAGGTTATGGCCACTGGGGCCTGTCCTACTGGAACGGAGTCTGAAGAAGCCTCCACAATGTAAAAACAATATTGCTCTGTCGTGGTTTAACCTAGCCAGCAACAGAGTCACTTGCTCTTCTGCCCCCACCTCCAAGGAATGGGGAAGAGAATTAGAGAGGAAAAGGGAAGGAGACTTGAGGATTGAGATAATAACAATTTAATAATAACAGTAATATAAAATTAAAGTTAATAATGATAATAATAATTATATATATATGTACAATGATAATAATATATACAAACAAGCGATGCACAGTATAATTGCTTACCACCTGGTGACCAATGCCTGTCCCATCCCAGTAAAGGATTCTGAAACAGGTAAGTCCTGACAGCATAACCTCAGACGAGCGAGAGGCCCAGAGAGAGAGAGAGAGAGCACTCCAAGAGTCCTAGAGTGAGAGCTTTTGGAAAAGCAAAGGTCCTTCTTTCTGGCCAGCCCTCATCTATATACTGGCTATTCCTCATCTGTGAAATACTCCATTGGCCAATTTGGCCCTCAACCCTAAATCTAAATTCAAATTATAAGGACAGTCATGGACCCTTTGTCCCAGCCATGCTCCCCTCCCAGCCTGTTGTGCTTCTGCACACTGGCAAGAACACAGGAAGCTGAAAAGTCCTTGAGACCTCAGTGCCAACTACAAGCATCAGTGCACTGCCAGCATTCTTCTCACAGTGAATCCCAGACTAAAACCAAAACATGGAGCTCTCTGGCTGCTAAAAGAAGAACTAACTCTGTCCAGTCAAAATCAGGACATGCTCCTACAACAGCAGTAACTACTTGTATGCGGAGTCAATTAGCAGTTAATGATTCTAGGATCTATACACCACATATGGATACATGTCATTGTTTCTCTGCATCTGTATCACTAGGAATTGACAGAAAACTGTGCTCTGTGTAGACAAACAAGTGTGCAACATTTCTCATCTATCTAGTTTAAACAGTTGCAAAGTTCACCCATATCACCAGAATTATAGTACCCAGAAACTCACCAACCTAGGACTAATCTGGAATCTTTATTTAAAAAAAAAAAAAAAAAACCAAACACAAAACCAAAAACAAAACATGAAGGAATCATAGCAAATAGAGCAAGTAGCTAAAAATATTAATGAATGGCAGTGACAGCATCAAGCAGTGACAGGACATACTACTTCAGAGAATCAACAGCCACTAATATCAGAAATGGATGCAGAGACCCTGATTTTACTATGATATTTTTAGAGGACAGTCAAGTACTGGTACAAGAATCGTGTTATTTTAACCATTAATCATTACCTATGTATTAACTAGTTGTCTCTTTGTTACAGCTTGCAGTATGTCTTGTAGTGTGTGACAGAAGATCCTGGAGCTATCTGGAACTATACAACTGCAAAAGATCTACATGGATTTTGCAAGAAAACTATGAGACAAGACTGGAGCAGGGTGACACTCCACTTTCTTGCTCTGAGGCAGTAACTAGCCTTGAGCCAGCACAGCCTGACACTGTGGGTTCAGAATTAAGGCACAGGGAACCGAGTTTCCATCCCATCATTGACAGGAAGTATACCAAGGAAGAAGACTTCTACGAGTAGCAGTACGCTAAGCACGATCTAATCAATATTTGCTTGCCTGAAACCCAGACATAAGCACACTAAAACAGCACACCCAGCAACAACATACGAGCATTTTGTAACACAACTAATTATACAAGTAATGCGGAAGGAACAGAGACTCAGGATACAGTATGACAAAAGGGATACAGAAAACCATCTGCAATGGATAATATCTGGAAAATAAAAACTAAGGATGCAGATTAAGCAAGAAAGAAGCCTGGAAAATTCAGAACAAGTTTAGTCCTAAACAAAGTTAAACTATATTGGTAGCAAATGAGATCCTCTGCTTGTTTTGAATAGGAAGGGACAAGGAACATTAAAATATCAAGGATTAGCAAGGAAAATGGGGAGAAAAGTAATCCACTTCAGTTCTACCCTTACTGAAAAGCTCTCAAGTTTGACCTCCTCCACATCAGTGATTCAGGCCCTCAAGAACAGCAGGGTGACACTCCACTTTCTTGCTCTGAGGAATTCAGGCCCTCAAGAACGACAGCAATCAACACAGCTTACACATACTCATCTACAAAAAGAGATATACTGTTCCTGGATGTATAGGAAGATTTTATATCAAGGTTTGAATCATAGAATCATTTAGGTTGGAAAAGACCTTAAAGGTCTTCAAGTCCAACTGTTAACCTAACACTGTCAAGTCCACCACTAAACCATGTCCTTAAGCACCGCATCTACACATCTTTTAAATATCTCCAGGGATTGTAACTCAACCACTTCCCTGGGCAGTCTGTTCCAATACTTGACAACCCTTTTGGTGAAGAAAGTTTTCCTAATATCCAATCTAAACCTCCCCTGGTGCAACTTGAGGCCATTTCCTCTTGTCCTATCGCTTGTCACTTGGGAAAAAACGCCAACACCCACCTCACTACAATTTCCTTTCAGGCAGTTGCAGAGAGTGATAAGGTCTCCCTTCAGCCTCCTTTTCTCTAGCCTAAACAATCCCAGTTCCCTAAGCCGCTCCTCATAAGACTTGTGACCTTTCATCAGCCTCATTGTTCTTCTTGTGACACGCTCCAGCACTTCAATGTCTTTCTTGTAGTGAGGGGCCCAAAACTGAACACAGTAGTTGAGGTGCAGCCTCATCAGTGCTGAGGACAGGAAGATGATCACCTCCCTAGTCCTGATGGCCACACTGTTTCTGATAGAAGCCAGGATGCTATTGGCCTTCTTGGCCACCTGGGCACACTGCTGGCTCATATTCAGTCAGCTGTAGACCAACACCCTCAGGTCCTTTTCCGCCAGGCAGCTTTCCAGCCACTTTCCTCCAAGCCTGTAGTGTTGCATGGGGTTGTTGTGACACAAGTGCAGGACCTAACACTTAGCTTTGTTGAACCTCATACAATTGGCCTTGGCCCAGTGATCCAGCCTGTCCAGATCCCTCTGTAGAGCCTTCCTATCCTCAAGCAGATCCACACTCCTGGTCAACTCGGTGTTGTCTGCAAACTTACTGAATTGCACATTGATGATGAAAAAGGATCTTAACGTAGATCTTTATCATCTATTTATTACCTGATCAAATGAGGCCACCAAGTGGCAATGTAAATATTTAAAGTCACAAAAGGAAAGTGTAATACCTTCTAATAACATAACAACGTTAGAATATGCAAAAATAATAATCAAGATAAATGAACACGGGCTAAACTTTATTTTATGTGCCCTGACATAAAGCAGTAATCTCATTTGTCGTTCGCAAGCATAGCTTTCAAAAGCTGTCTTCCAGTGCTTATGTCATGATGCCTTCAAATACTGCTTTCCTACTCATGTCAGGCAAGCAACCTTAAAGTGACTTGCAACAAGTTTTAAAACTCACAGATTGAAATTTACATCCTTCCTGTCCTAAATCACAAGCATGCTTCATATTTCAGTGTCTACTTTTTCTTGGCCAATTCCACTCTGATGACGTCATTTTGTAGAACTCTTGTTTTTATTCTCCTTCTGTTCATGACTGTCACCCAAGTATGCTCTAAAAAGGCATATGGTAATCTGCTTTCTTCAATTTCTTTCATTCCTTCCATAGAACTAAGCATCAGCAGGATGTCAAAAAAGAAGGTGAGTGGAATTCCATCTTCTAAAACATCCTCAAACCTTTCTTTTAAAGAATACTGTAAAAATTTCTTGTAAAACATACGGATAAGCAATAATGCTGAAGTGCAAGATCTACAAAAAATTTGACAAATTTACTTACACTGAGAATTCATGTATGAAAGAGTGATTTGCAAAGGTGCAACTGAAACTCCAAATGGTACCCAGCAGGTTTCACTACAAGGATATTGGTAAATCAAATATACACAGATATGCAGATGATGCTGCCAAAAACAAACAAACAAACAAAAAACAACAACAAAAAAAAACAAACACAAAAAAAACCACAACACCCCAAAAACCCCAAAAGAAAACCCCACAACAAAAAAATCCAAAAACCTTTCCAAACACAAATTTTTAAAACAATATGCCTTATACATATACACAAAGCTAAGCAACTGACTGAAATCCATGAGATGTGCTCGAAACTATTAGTACACTCAAAATTATCCAAAAGTGCAATAGTGGAATGTATCATATCTCATACCAAATGCACCACAACCAGTTTGTGTTCTGCTCCTAACTGAGGAAGTCTTACATGATATCTGGACATCGAGTTCGTTTTCTCCTACTGCAAATTACAATACAGCATCAACTTACTGCAGGTTAACCCCTGCCAGCAGCTAAGCCCCACACAGCCGCTTACTCACTTCTGCCAATTGGATGGGAGAGAGAATTTTAAGGGCAAAAGTGAGAAAAATTGTGGGTTGAGTTAAAGACAGTTAAATGAGTGGAGCAAAGCAGGGCATGCAAGCAAAGCAAAATAAGTAATACGTTCACTACTTCACATCAACAGGCAGATGCTCAGCCGTTTCCAGGAAAGCAGGGCTCCATCACTCGTAACAGTTACTTGGGAAGACAAACGCTGTAGCCTCAAATGTCCTCGCTTCCTCCTTCTGTCTCTGAGCTTTCACCACTGAGCACGACGTCATATGGTGTGGAACATCCCTTTGGTCAGCTTAAGTCAGCTGTCCTGGCTATGTCCCCTCCCAGCTTCTTGTACACCCCCAGCCTACTTGCTGGTGGGGTGGTCTGAGATACAGAGGAAGCGTTGGCATTGTATAAACACTGTTCAGCAAGAGCTAAAATATTGCTGCGTTACCAGCACTATTTTGGTAAGAAATCCAAAACACATACTGGCTGCTATGAAGAAAATTAACTCCATCCCTGCCAGATTCAGTACACAACTAGTACAGTAAGTTTGTTCAAGTGAGACTAAACCTTGTAAATATTTAAATTGTTCAGAAGTGAACAATTTAAAGTTGCAAACTGTGCTGAGACACAAACTCACTGAGAATGGTATAAAAAGTCTGACTCTTAAACACAGCAAAATCGAAAGCAGCACTCAGCAAGGCACGTAGCTGCGGCAATCGTAAACTCTGTGGCTGAGGGCTAGATCGAGGGGTAGGAGGCGTGTTCCTAAAGCCAGGGAAACCCAAGGAAGAGCCAAGAGCCGACAGCTCTCACGAGAGAGGCGGACATGGCTTGGGTGTTGCCAGCAGCAACCGCAGGAGGTTTAAGCAGCCAGGGAGTGCGAGGGACCAGGAGTGTTGTGTGCAGGGATCGAGAGGACGTAGCAGTTGGCACAGCAGGGCTGCACACCCTGCTTGTGGACAGCCCAGGGAAATGCTCTAGGTCTCTGTCATAATGGTGGGCACTCGCCTCAGTTAAAATCAGTGTTTCTACAGAGAAAGCCCTTGAGATGTCTGACACTTCCACCCAGATGGAACTGGTAAGGAAGGAGACTTCAGTACGGATGGTCAGTTGCAATGAGTGTCAGACCCTTCTCCTGGAGAAAAGGTAAGTACCTGCAAAAGATGTGCACAGGTTGATGAACTGTTCCATCAGGTGGCTGAGTTGCAGGAAACAGTTAAAAGGCTGCATAGTATTAGAGGGGCTGAGACGGAGATAGATAAGTGGTTTCAGAACTATGCTCCTGTGGTGACACCACAGAAAATGAGGTACCTTGGACCCTGGTGACCCACAAAAGCAGGACTCTAATTCAGTCCCCACCCTCTAGCATTACAATCAAAACCAGATATGAAGCTTTAACAGCTGTAGACAGCTACGAGCAAGGTCTGCAAAGAGAAACTGTACCAGCAGCACACAGTGGATACCACAAAAAGAAATGATGAGTACTTGTAGTGGGTGACTGTCTGTTAAGGAGTACTGAGGTGTCCATCTGCCAGCCTGACAGGGAGTCACAAGAAGTGTGTTGCTTTCTGGGAGCTAAGGTCTGAGATGTTGTCAAGAGGGTGGCACAACTTGCCAAGAGCACAGACTGCTATCCATTGCTGCTCTTTCCTGTGGGCACAAATGACACAGCAAGCCAGAGGTCTCAGAGACAACTATAAATATGAGTGCACTATCAACATTCTTCTCATAGTGAATCCCAGACTAAACCCAAAACACAGAGCTCCTCTAGCTGCTAAAAAGAAGAACTGACTCTATCGCAATTAAAAACAGGACAATATCATAGGAATAACTGAAAGATGGTGGGACAACTCACATGACTGGAGGATCACAAGGGATGGCTATAGCCTGTTTCATAAAGATAGGCAGGGAAGAAGAAGAGGAGGAGTTGCGCTCTTTGTGAAGAACCTTGAATGTATAGAGGTCAATGATGGTGATTGTGGAAGTCCTATTGAAATACCTGTGGATCAAGATCAGAGGTGTCATCTCCAAGGGAGATCTTATAGTAGGCATCTGCTACTGACCTCCAAACCAAGACGATGAGGCCAATGAAGCTCTATTTGGGTCACTTAAGAAAGCTTCAGGTCAACAGAACCTCGTTCTTATGGGTGACTTCAACTACGCAGAAATTTGTTGGAAGAACAATACAGCAGCCCACGTCATCCATCAAGTTCCTGGAATGCACAGAGGACTACTTCCTTATAAAAATGTTAGATGTGCCAACCAGGAATGAGGCCCTGCTGGGCCTGCTACTCACAAACACAGAAAACCTGCTCTGTAACATCTCGGTTAGTGATAGCCTTGGCTGCAGTGATCACAACATTGTGGAGTTTGGGGTCCTGCTGAGCATGCTGAAGGTTAGTACTAAGACAAAATCTTTCAGATTTCAGAAGAGCAAACATCAGCTCTCTCAGAGCTCTGCTGGGAGACATTCATTGGGAAGCTTCCACGGAGGATAAAGGAGCTAGCGAGTGCTGGGAGTTTTTCAAGGACACTCGGCAGGAAGCACAAAACCAGTTCATCCCTTTTAAAGGTAAGGGAAGTAGGCAGAGAAAGAAATCCCCTTGGCTTAACTGTGAGCTTGTGTCTGCTCAAAAACTAAAAAGAAGCATACCAGAGATGGAAAAGGGGATGAATACCCATTGAGTACTACAAGGGCTTTGTTGGGGTGTGCAGAGACACAGCTAGAAAAGCAAAAGCTCAGCTTGAATTGAAATTGGCCAGAGATGTCAAAAACTACAAGAAAAGGTTCTTCAGGTACATAAACAACAAGCAGAAACAGAAGGAAAAATCTGGCCCTCTGTTAAACAGGAGAGGTGAATTAGTCACCAACAACGTTGAAAAGGCAGAGGTTCTTAACACTTTATTCACCTCTGTCTTTACCAGCACTGTTGGTTCCCCAGGCCTTGGGGAAAAAAAATCTCAGGCTTAAGCACACACAAACCCACCATCAGTGAAGGAAGAGTTGGCATGTGAACTATTACAGGAGCTTGACTCCTAGAAATTGATGGGCCCCAACAACGTCCATGCGAGAGTGTGAAGAGAACAGGCTGATGTTGTTGCGAGGCTGCTCTCCATAATCTTTGAGAAGTTGTGGAGATCAGAGGATGTCCCAGAAGACTGGAAAAAGGCTAATGTCACCCCCATCTACAAGCAGGGCTTAAAGGAGCATCCAGGAAATTATAGGCCGATCAGTCTTAATTCAGTCCCTGGGAAACTTATGGAACACATCTTCCTGGGGCTATCACAAGTCAATTGGAGCACATGACTGCAAAAAGCCTGCAGGGGTTCACCAAGGGCAAATCATGCTTGATAAACCCCCGACCGCCTTCTATGACAAAGCAATCTGCTTGGTTGATGTGGGATGAGCAGTAGATGTTGTCTACCTGGTTTCCCACAGCCGCCTCCTAGAAAAACTGATGCATTACAGTGGTCTCTGCGGTGGGTGGGGAACTGGCTGACAGGCCGCACCCAGAACGTGGTGGTAAATAGCTCCTTTTCAAACTGGCAACCTGTCACAAGTGGAGTCCCCAAGGGATCAATATTGGGCTCAACACTGTTTAGTATCTTCATAAGTGATCTGGATTATGACATCAAGTGTACACTGTTGAATTTTGCTGATGATACCAAACTGAGTGGGGAAGGGGACACTTTGGATGGGAGAGCCACCCTGCAGGAAGATCTAGATAGGCTGGAAGAGTGGGCTAACAGGAACTTCATGAACTTCAATGAGGAGAAGTCTTGCACCTGGGAAAACTTAATCCAGGAGTGCAGTACAGGCTGGGATCTACCTGGCTGGGGCACAGCTCTGTGGAAAGAGACCTGGGGAGTCCTGGTGGACAAGAAGCTCAATGAGTGAACAGTGTGCTGCTGTGGCAAAGCAAGCCAACAGATGCTCGGTTGCATCAACAAGGGCATCACCAGCAGAGATAAAGATGTCGTTATCCCACTCTACTCAGCACTTGTCAGGCCACACCTGAAATACTGGGTTCAGTTTTGGTGTCTGCTAAACAAAAAAGATGTGGATAGGCTGGAGAGGGTCCAGAGCAGGGCCACAAAGATGACGAAAGGACTGGGAAGGCTGCTGTGTGAGGAAAGGCTAAGAGAACTGGGCTTGTTCAGCCTTGAGAAAAGAAGGCTTAGGGGAGAGCTTATTGCCATGTTCCAGTATTTAAAGGGTGTCTACGAAGAAGATAGAGACTCCATTTTTACAAGGAGTCGCACAGAAAAGACAAGGGGTAATGAGTATAAGTTGCTCCTGGGGAGATTCCAATTGGACAAAAGACGAAAATATTTCACAATGAAAACAATCAGCCATTAGAATAACCTCCCCAGGAAAGTGGTGGATTCCCCAACATTGGACACTTTTAAGATTCAACTGGACAGGGTGCTGGGCCATCTTGTCTAGACCATGCTTCTGCCAAGAAAGGTTGGACCAGATGAACCTTGAGGTCCCTTCCAACCTGATATACTATGATTCTATTCTTCTATTTTCCAATATGCTTATGCCTTCAGAAAATAATTCAAGTGAATGATTTCTGTCAAATTTGAAAGGAGAGCACATATCACAGCTTTTTTAATTAAGAATATCCTTAATAGAATTTTTGTCACTTCGGTTACTCAAACAATCTGTTTAAAAGGCATCTTCTTATTGACTGAAAGCCAGTAAATCTGGAGAAACAGTTCTGAGTCTTCTTTCATTGAGATGTAGTGATTTTCATAAAGGATTGCTATCTGTAAATCCAAACCGATTTCAACCAATTAATATTCCTCATTGCTGCTAGACCAGTCATAGCTGCTGTGTTTATTCATATAGTGACACTTCAAATTCCTGCTTCAGTAATACTGTTTCTGAATATTTTAAGTAATGCATTCCAGTTTCACACAGTTAAAATCAAGCAGAAGTGAGTTCCCAGTAGGTCTGATTTTGGTTGAGTTTTTTTGTATACTTTTTTAGGATCACTTACTACTCATGCCCATGCCTTACAGAGGCTGACTTATAAGTGAAGCTGTATTCTGACACACAGAGCTATTGGTATCTTATTAATGTTTTAAAGCTAACAACACTGTTAGAGGGAACCAGTTGAAGTCTGTGCATCAACTCACACAGACACGGCAGCGTCATTAATACCGTGCATCCATATTATGCACTCTGTATTCAGAAACTTTAGACCTGAAAGTACTTTTTCTTCTGAAATTAATTATAGGAATTATTCTATGATACAACTGTCAGATGTGA